AGCCTTCCTCCCTCCTTCCTGAAGACCAACATGTGTGCAGTGCTGGCCACCCAGGGAGGCCCACAAGAGAACAGCAGGACGGCCTCCCATGGAGGCTGGCCACCATCAGAAACAGTGTCCTAAGCTGCCTGCTTGTCTTTAAAGACAGCTTGCCCCCATCAGAAAATGAATGAGAGGGTTCTAATGAGCATCTGATAAGCATTCTTGAATATGCTCAAACAAGGCCTGCTGAAAGCTCCATCCAAAGTACCCAGGAGGGCCCTAACTGGGCCCCTAACTCAGTTTCTTGCTCCATGAGGATGCTCAGAGAGATTTCCTTCCTCAGCAGGTGTCTATCAGATGAAACACCAGATCCAGGCTGTCTGATACCCTCTGCTGGCTGCTCTCTCCCTGATGCTTCGTTGTTGGTATCACAGTTAAAAATTCCACTGCCATCAACAGGAAGCTTCACAGGGCCCCGAGTTTCTGAGCACTGTCTGCTAAAGGCACCAGGTGCTTCTAGAAGCTTGAAAGTTCTCCAATGCACAGAGGTGGCTGGGTGTAGCCTGCACCTTTGCTGATCTTTAGCAAGCATCTCTGGAACTTTGACCCTCTCCAACTTCATCACCTCCAAGGCAGAGGAGGTGAGGGCAAAAGCGAACAAAGCCCACTCTTTGAGCATTGTGTCCACAAGTGTCACCAGAGCACCAGATATGTGAGGATGGAAACAGTGCAAGGACCCCAACAGTATCTACCAATCTCTATGTGAATTCTTACAAAACCAAACACACCTTTCCTAGGCTATATGAGTCTCTCGATAATTACTATTTTTCAACTCTACATAGATGCTATTGTTGTTTACAAAATATGGAGCCATTTAATTACAGTATTGAATTCATAGAAGCTTTCTGTTACATATTTTTTTCTTAATCAAAGGATACTATAATAACAAATACTATAAGGTGAATTCTGAGAACTTTTTTTTTATTTGTTGAGTGGTTTCGGTCCCGTCTGACTCTTTGTGACTCCATTTGGGGTTTTCTCAACAAAGATACTGGAGTGGTTTGCCATTTCCTTCTCCAACTTATTTTTACAGATGAGGACGTAAGGCAAACAGGGCTAAGTGACTTGCCCAAGGTCAGACAGCTATCTGAGGCCACATTTAAACTCAGGGCTGGCACTCTATCCACTGCACCACCCAGCTGCCTATTTTTTTTATGTCATCACACACAAAAAAAAGTTGGGAACCAACAATGTAGAAGGAAAAATAATGTTTAGGGTCAGAGGGCCTGGGTTCAGTTCCTGGCTATGTGACTTCAATTAAGTAGCTTGCAATCCACAGATTCTGTAATCTGGGGGGATTCTCCTAGATGATTTCTCCTAGGTATACACTCCTATCAGCCATCAGATGATAAGAGAAAGCCCAGCAAAGGCCAAAGCAAAGACCAAAGCTTAAATCTTTTCCTCAGTCTTTATCGTTGACAGCATTAGGAGTCATCCAATTAAGCATTCAATGAAGGATGTTGCAGGGTCAATTCTAACTCTGTGGGAGGTTGGGCTTGACCTCTGAGGTTCTTTCTAAGGTCCCCCAAAATTCTATGGAGAAAAGCCTAGACACCAGCAGTCCTTGGGCTGAGCCGACTGGAAAGCTAAAACTGGAAAGACCTCCTTGAGGTTTGAGTTTGCCAAACCATAACCAGTCCATTTTTTTCTTTTCTGCTCCCTTGTCTCCTTCAGTAGGTAGCTGAATGGGTAAAAGGTGGGAAGAGAACAGGACAACTCTATAACTTGTCTCTCCTAAACTTTTTTAAACTTGACGAGGAAGCAATATTAGGAGATTGGGAAGAAGAGATCGTCTTATTTCTGCAGTGTAAACAAATATAAATCTAGTAAGACAAGATGCCCACAAAGGACGAGTACTAGGAAGAAAATGGCAATGGGGGAAGGATTTAGGTGATACTTCTGATCTTCCCAGTGTGCTCCTAAGTTGGGGCTCCTAGGATTGTGGGGCGTTCAGTAGCAGAAGCAAGGCCAGGACCAGCTGACTGTAGAGGAAGACTTGGCCATGACGTTGGGACTCTCTCCAGTGACTTTCACCAACTCTCCTTGGGTGAAACACATCTCAGAGTGTGGGAAGGCAGGCCCACAGCTCATGCCAGGAAGGTTCAAAGGATAGAGATCTCAGGCTTAAATTTATGGCATGCAGTATTAGCCTGCTGGATTGTTTTGGTCGGCCTTTTAACACTGAAGAGGAACCAAGGGAGTTTTCCAATAAATTATTTCAGCTGCTCTCCTGCAGGGCTTGAGAGACTCTGAAATGTTCCCAGTAACCATGAGGGGAGGGCTCATTTTCCAGTGTCTGTAGGGGGTAGGCAGTGGATGGGTTAGGGTGAGGGTGGAAGCGAATAGCAAGGATCAGGAAAAAGGCTTCCCTTATTTCTGGAAACCCCAGAGGATGGGTGGAGTGGGAAGCAGAAGCCCCACACACCCTTCCCTTTCTGTCCCTCTGATTCCCCACAAATTGACTCTTCTCGGGGAAAGGGCATATTGGGTGGACAATACCACTTGCCCATGCCTCAGGGCGCAAGTCCCTGTCTCCCATGAGAGATCCTCTAAATCCCTCACAAAAGCAATAGGAGGAAGGAATGTGTGACTTGACTTGTCGACTTCTGTAATGACACACTGGAAAATCCAGTGTGGAATGCCATCTCTTTAACACCCTAACCTCCAACTGGGCTCAACTTGCGACTCTTCCTTGAAATGTCCTTACTATTCCTCTCCACCTGTTAGTTGTGGAGCCAGAGCAATTGCGGGTCAAATCATGAATCTACCTCTTACTACCTCTATTGCCTCTGACAAGTCACTCATCCCTTCTTGGCCTCACTCACCTAAGCAGTAAAACGGAGGACTTTGGACTGGGTGGAATCAGCAGTGCCTTCCCGATCTGAATTGGTGATTGAATGGTCTCATGAAATCTGCTCATTCTTCAAGTTCCTCCTGATCCATGGAGTCATCTCTGGCCCTGCCAGCCTATGCTGATCTTTCCCTTTTTTGAATACTTAACTCTCACTATATCTTTCTTTTCTGAAACCATAACCTTCCTTGTCCATACCACAAAATTGCACAAGTAGTCAAATATTAGTAACAGTCATCTGTTTCATACACATTAATCTAGCCTCTCCAATAAGAATTTAAACTCTCTGAAGCAGGGAGAGACAGTATGGTCTGGGGTGGGGAGAAGCATGGGAATCAAAGACCTGGTTTGAAGACTATTTTCTGGTTATTTATTAGACTCTGGCCAAATCACTTATTCCTTCTGGACCTCGGTTTCCTCCATTAGAACATAGATGGGGAAGGGGGGGGAGTGTCTTCCTTCCCTAAATCCCTCCTATCTCCTCCCCCCCCCCACAATAGCTAACTCAGGACTTGGGCACTGACATAAGTCAGACTTTTCCAAATGTAACATTTGTATGATTTCTCCTGCATGGACACCATTCTTTGTCCAGCCCTTGGCTTATATTTATATATACAATTCAGAGGGGCACTCAAGCTGTCTCAAGTAGTTGCCCTGGAATTCAAGTGGGGATTAAGTGACCCAACTGGGTGAGAATCGAGCACTGGGGTTATTACTAATTGGCCAGATGAATACAGCAAGGAAGGGAAGGAGGGGAGTAGTTTCTGAACCTACTATGTCCATCTGGATCTCATAAGAGGTTTGGAGGATGTTTCCCAAGACAGTTGAGTATCTCATGCCTCCCTTGTTAAGAGTAGGAGGGAAAGGACCTTCAGTGGGAACCCTGAAAGGCTAGGCCCACAGCAGTGAATATGTTGAGTTTATCTGTGACTATAAGGAATAAAGGAGTTCCATAGTGACTCTCAGCCCAATTATTCCAGTCTCTTTCCTACCAAACTAGATCAGAGTTGAATCCAAGTGGCCAAAAGAAGCTTAACTGGGTCAATGGCTTTATTCATCTTCGGAAGGGAGAGGCCAGGGGAGAGAAAAGGGATCACACTGTCCAGAGCTAAGATGCTCCAAAGGCAAGCAATAAATGAGAAGAAAGCCTAGGAGCTGGTTTAAGCCAACAAATAGGTAATTGGGTTTGAAATAATGAGTTGACTGTAGCTTAAAACAGATGACCCCTCCCCCCAACTTTAAGACTATAAGGAAGAAGAAAAAGAAACAAATTAAACAGTGTGTCACGGATAGGTTTTTGGACCAGATTTCTGAGTAAGAACTAAATTCATCTAAGTTTTCGGGTTTCCTCTGTTTTGTTTTAACACACACACAAGAAAAAAAAAACACAAAAACCAAAGGTGTCCCATAGTGAGAGACTCTTCAGTTAATGAGTAAGCCAGGAGTTCTCCAGGAAAAGCCAGGGGTGCTCATCTTCTCTGCCAAAACTCTGGGAAGGCAGAAGACTTGGGCTAAATTTCTCTGTGCCCCATTCTGATTGCCTGCAAAAAAGCAGGCACCCAAGAAAACTGCTTCTTGGGTGGACAGTATTGTCTCTGAAGACAAACTCCAGGTACACCCAGCTCATTCTCTGACTCTAGACGACAAAACCATCAAGCTACAAAGAGAACTTCGTGTATCCTAAACAGGCTTGGCTTAATAACAGCCTTGCTCTTGAGCAGGATCCAAAGACAAACAGGGATACATTTTAATAGCTCTTGAACATCTGGTCAGGAAAGACAAAACATACCTGGATAGAGAGGCCTTGACCGTTCATCAAAAACACTTTCCTTAAAACAACCCTAAAAGATAGGTAGTACAACCTGTATCAACCCCATTTTACAGATGAGGACAGTGAAGCTCAGAGAGATCAAGTAATTTTTTTTTAAATTTTTTGGCAATTGGAGTTAAGTGACTTGTCCAGGGTCACACAGCTAGTAAGTGTCAAGTGTTTGGTCTGAGGCCAAATTTGAACTCAGGTCCTCCTGACTCCAGGGCCAATACTCTATCCACTGCACCACCTAGCTACCCTTTGCCTATTCATTCTTAAGACCAAAATGACTCTTACTCCCAATATTCGATGACAGGTGAGGTGTAGTTTGTGGAATTGAAGGCCATTAACGTCCTGTTCTGTCTCAGGTAGTCTTCCAAGCAATTCGGGGTGTTCCACTTCTGATGGCAGAGGGACCAGGGGAGCTCTTTCTGAAATGAGTCAAACAGGTAGTAGAGCGCCCATGCCAGGATGACGATGTAATACACGTTCAGGAGGGACACAATCACAATGGAGGCATAACCGATGCCTAGATAAGAGAGAGACAGACAAGGAAAACAATCAGTTACTGTGGCACCCTATTACCTCCAGAACCAATTAGGGACTCTCCCATTTGGCTTTTAAAGCCCTTCATTACCTGGCCCTTTCCTACCTTCCTAAGCCTTCTCCTGGCCCTATCCAGTCCCCCTTGCCCCTGCCAGTCAATGCAAGCAAAGGGGATAGACTAGACGGTCTGTAGATCCCTACCAGCTCTAAATTCTAGGATCTCAATGCCAGTGACAGGGTTAGCCTTTCCGAAGGAGACCTGTGTTCTAATAACCTGAACCTGACACAGTGGGAAGAATACTACTAGCCCATCAATAAAAAAGGGGGTTCAAATCCCATCCCCTACAACTACTGCCCAGATGACCACAGGTAAGTCACTTGTCTTCCCCAGTCCTCATTTTCCTCATCTGTAACAGAAGTGGATCATACTAAATGCCATTGAAATCTCCCCCAACCTTGTGCTTTTCCTGATACATGTGCTCTTCACTGAGGAGGAGGAATTAGTCCTGGTGACAGTTACCTCTTTGATGTAGTTTAAGAGCCCTCTCTGTCCCAAAACGTCTCCTTCGCCAACCTACCAATGTATCTTTAAAAGAAGAAAAATCTCACTCTAAGAGTCTTCTGGGGAAATGGACATTTATGACCAATTTACCAACACTTATTGCTGTCTTGAAGAGAGCCCTTGGCAGGGGAAGAGGGGGTGAAGGAGGCAGGATGAAAATAATAATTAATTCACCTTCACATGGAACTGTTTTTTAAGTGCCTTCCTATCAATAGTCCTATGGGATAAGTCAGTGTAGCACTATTATGCCCATTTTACAGATATGGAAACTGAGGTTCAGAGAGGCGAAGCAGACTCATAGATTTAGATTTCACAGATAAGTAAACTTGAGGTACAACAAGGTTTAACTAAATAGCCCAAAGGTCATGCAAAGCCCTGATTTGAATACAAATCAGTACTCCCACATCAAGGACCCTTTCTAGTACCATGATTTGCCCAGGGTCACACAGCTCTTCAGTGCCAGAGCTGGGATACAAATCCAGTGTCCCTCATTCTTATATCTAGCGTCCTTTCTACCATGCCAAGTTGCTTCTCAAGGGGAGCCTGGAACTTAATCCTTGGCTTTAAGAGGTCCACTTGAAAACAAGGGAATTTTTCTTAAAGGGATCTCAGAAAAGCAGGCCTACAGCTCACTTACATGGTTAGTATTCTCAATCAATATTTGCCTTCTCTAAAGGTAAAAGACCAAAAATGTCCTTTTTTTTGTCTTAAAGTTCAAGGTCAGGGATAGATACAGTTCTGTCCTTTGTGACTTAAAATGGCAAAGAGGGAAAGGGTAAAATGTAGTCCTTGACAGCTCAATCTGGTGCAAAAAGTACTCTGTACCTAATACAAAAATGGAGGTTCTCGGTCTCTAATTCTGTGACCTGTGTAAGGAGAGGACTTCAAGTGACTGCTCCCTCTTCAGGCTTTGCCTAAACTAGGGCAGGCATTCACTCAAGGGCACATGGTGTGCAGGGTTTGGCCTGGTTACCTGAGGCCCAAAAAATAGTGATTCCATCCTAGAATACCATGAGCAGAATCCAAGAATCACAGAACTTGGGCAAGATCAGGGAATCTACTGAATTTCAAAACTGAAGAGGCTGAGAATCTCATTATGAGCATTTTAAGATGGTTGACCCTTAAGAGTTGGAAGGAAGCTTGAGAAGCCACCTAAGACAACTTTCCATCAAGGGGAGAAATGTCCACCATGGAGTGGGGTGGGGTGGGGGGTGGGGGTAGAGACAGTCAACCAGCATCTGTTGGAACACTGCCAGTGAAAAAGAACTCTAGGATCAAGACATAAAATGAAAAAGTTTCCTCCCTCTCTGCCCTTGTGATGGGGTTTTTCTGCCTAGAATAGCTTCCTCCAACCTCATTCTCAAGGCTAGCACATCCTTTAAGACCCCATTCATGGAAAGAGCCTGAATCCAGGTGAGAACCTGGATTCAAAATCCAGAGCTTTGCCAGGTAATCTGTGTGACCTTAGGCTCTCTGGACCTCGGTTTCCTCATCTGGAAAATAAAGGGCTTAGATTAGATAGCCTCTCAGTTCTATGCCAGCTTTAAATCTATGACCTCAATAGCGTAATTCTTAGAATGCATGGGAAAGAGACATTCACGCCTTAACCTGACTCCTGGGCCAGGTGAAATGAATTCCTACCAGCTGCAATGAGGAAGGCAGGAGAGTACATATGAAATGATGCTGGGACCCTGGTCCTAGTAACATATGCTCCCCACACCCACATCTCTTTATCTACTAGTAGACCCTGAGACTCTGAGAAAGAGATAGAACATAAGCTTCTCGAGGAAAGAGATGGTTTTATTCTTCACTCTGTACCCCTAGAGGCTGGACCATGGCAAGCACTTCATAAATGCTTGCTGATCGATTGATTGGCCTTGGAGTTCAGTGGACAGAGTGCCAGACCTGGAGTCAGGAAGGGCTGGGTTCGAATACTACCCTGCAGATAATTACTTGCTAGGCACATAACGTATTTATTCCCTTTAAGATGAAAGTTTCATCATCTGTGAACTGAGATAATAATAGCACCTACTTCATGGGGTCGGTATGAGGATCAAATGGGGCAATACATGTAAAACTCCTCTTTGTTGTTGTTCATTCATGTCAGACTCTCCCTGACCCCTTCTGAGGTTTTTTTGGCAAAGATACTGGAGTGGTTTGCCATTTCTTTCTCCAGCTCATTTTACAGATGAGGAAACTGAGGTGAACAGGTTTAAGTGACTTTCCCAGGGTCTCATGGCTAGTAAATGTCTGAGACTGGATTTGAACTCAGGTCCTCCTGACTACAGGTCCAGTGCTCTATCCACTGTGCCACCCTTACATACCTTAAAGTTATCCAGAAACATGAACTATTTTTAGTAGGATTATTTCCTTCTCCCAGAATGTGTTCTCCTGGAACACAGTCCCAAGTACTGCTCTTAATCTGAGGCATCAGGAATTCAGATGTTGCTGCTTAAACACCTTAAGGTGACCACAGCCCTAGCCTTTCAAAGGCATATGTTTCATTTGGACTCAAGAGCAAAAACACCCTGTAGGGCAGGAGCCATCATTTCAGTTAAGTGTGTGTGTGTGTGTGTGTGTGTGTGTGTGTCTGTCTGTCTGTGTCTGGGTGTGCGTGTGGGGGGGGTGTCTCTGCTTTACCAAGTGCTGCTGGTCCAGTAGAAAAGGGTGATTAAGTCAGGAGCATGGAATGAGGGGAAGAGTTCTGGGTTGGGCATTCAAAAGCCCAAGGTTCTCGAAATAGGCTTCTGCCAACTGACTGTAGGCAAGTCAAATCCCTTCTCTGAGACTCAGTTTCCTGCTCTGCAAAATGAGGAGATAGGAGTAGATGATCTCCCTGGCTCCTCCCAGCTCTCAGATCCAAGAGTTAATAACCATCCTTAGCTGGCATACGAGTAAATGGTGACTTTTCATTTTCATTGCTTCCCTAAAACATTCCAACTGATATAGGTCAGCAAAATGCCCGTTTGCAAGGTCAAATATCTTGGAGCTCCATGGGATTATGGGTGGACTGCTTCCAAAATCAATAGCTGTGTGTCTGTAAATATGTGCACACAAATTCCCAATTGCCAGCTGGAATACATGGGGAGAGCGTGCTATCAAGGATGGTGTGCTAACTTATAGCGGGAGGTGCTGGGGGAACTCTCCCCATTTCCCCTCTCTGGCACTTATTAGAGTTGGAAGACCCTGAGCAAGTCTCAACTTTCCTAAATCTCAATTTCCTCATCTTTAGCCCAGAGCTGCGATGTGGGTGGTGAGAAACAAAATGACATACACAAAGCATTTTCCAAACTTTACACGTCAACTGTTACTGTCCAAGACAGGCAGCGTTGACTAAGGTGGTGGATGAAAAGTCCTATTTGATTGAATTCCCAGCTGCGGTGAGATTACCATTACCAGCAATAAAAAGAACTAAATTACAAGGAAAATCAGATTATGGTAACACAGAATTTTCCCAAATAATTTCTCTTTCAAATCTTGAAGTGGCCATCCAATAAGAAGTCTTGGACAAGTCCCTTTAATTTCCTTACACGTAAAATAAGAGTCTTCATCTAAATGATCTCTTAAACTCCTTTCTAATTTAATATCCTAGGACTCAGAACTAGAGGAGATCTTTAAGAAACTGACTAGTTCAGGCCCCTCATTTTATGGAAAAGGAAAATGAGCTTCACAGAGAAAGGTGACCTAGTTAAGATCATACAGGTAGTCAGCAGCAAAGCTGGGATTCACATGCAGGACATTTGTCCCCAAATTCAGGGCTCTTGTCATTTACCCATTTTGCTTCCTAGTACAAATTCATTTTATTCTGAAACTCTGAAATTCATTTAGTGCTTTGAGTGATTTGATAACACACACACACACACACACACAATAGGTCACTCCAAAAATGAACATGTCTAAATTATATTTCTTGAGCTTAGCCAAGTAATTGTGTTTTTGTTTACTCTGTTGTTCTCAAAGCTAACTATAGATCTTTTTTTAAAAAAATTTAAACATCCATTTGCTGTGCCAAAAGACTATGGAGAGGCTAGCAGCTGTCTGTTGGCTTTAAAAAAAAAAAAAAAGGATTGGAAATGGGGTGTCAATAAAATTGTAATCCACGAATCTGTTGATTTTTTGATGGACTTTAGCCCAAGAAGGTGGCTATTGAATGAGGAAATAGAAGGATATAATTGGCCTTGAGGAGAACCCCATGTGACCAGGGGCAAATACCTTTCTCCCTCTGGGCCTGTGACCTCCTCCCTCGGTATAATAATATAGGGATTGGTAAAGCTGACTTCTAAGGTCCCTTCCATATATGACACCCTTCAAAGCGACATATGTCCGCATTTCAACCCACCCTCTCCTATGAAATGACATTAATAAACTATATACACACAGTCGCCCTATAAGGCCAGTAGGTAAAGGAACTAAGCCTGGCCACCCAGTCCTTTAAAAAATGAAAAATGGCATCTAAACACTGAAACCTTCTATTTCCTCAGTCAATAGCTACCTTTCCAGTCTTATCTCCCCAAAGTCAACAGCAGCACCTACCCAACACTCTAAACAAAGAGTACTAACTTGCTAAGCCAATACAGCCTCCAATTGCCATCTTGTACCTTTATTCATGCTGTTCCCTCTCTAGCTGTTGAAATCCCACCTTAAAATCCCAGCTTAAAGGCTCCACTCAAGCCCCACCTCCTCCAGGAAGCCTTCCCTGATTACCTCCAGGCTACTTCCACCCCTCTGTCCTACCTTGTATTCTCCAAACACTTTTTATATGCACAACTGCTTCAGTATGTTTCACATCTTCCCTAGTGACAGAGTTTATTGCAAATGGAAATAATCACTTGTATATAGATATAGATTCCTTATGGCTTTGTATGATTTTAATATGGAAGAAACTCTTAGAGGAAATGTACCTCATTCCCTACCCTTCACCCTTTCTTTCATGGATAAGGAAACCGAGGGTCAGAGAGGTTTGCATGAAGTCACACAGCTTGGCAGGTGTGGGAGCTGAGAGGTGATCCCAGGTCCTATGACTACAAGACCAGTGCCTTTCCTTACCCACAAAATCACATTGCCTGTTTATATGTCCCAATCCTTGAAGACGAGGACTGGATTCCTATTCATCTTTTGATAGTGGTCACCCATTTGTCCAATCAGTGGATTGAAAACACAAACCACCACCCAATTAAGGTCACCTCTTGAGAGTTTCCCATCCTTAGGGATTTTAGTCATACCAAAAAGCAGAACCAAGAGAAATGATCACCTTGTTCTGTTCCATCTGTGGAATATGTTTTATAGGGTGACTTCATCCTTTTAATAGGATGAGACAATTAAAAGGAAAAGTCTCTGGTGGCCCACCACCCAGGAGGAGACCATGAGTTACAGGGAAAGAGGTCACTGTCCATGCTGCCTTTCCTAAATCCTGCTTCCTGGCATGAGATGCACTAATGCCAAGCCTTTCCACTACCTCCCCCCACCCCACTTGTTGGTGCCTCCAACTCCCTGTCACTGAACAAGCTGCAATTTATCTCTAAAATGACTTCATTGTTTACAGTGGTTTTGTTAACTGAGGATTGTTGTCTTCAGAGACCCAGTTTATGGCAGCATCAGCCATTTATGCAGCCATAAAGCCAACCTCATCTTCCACGTGAGTGGTTTGCTCCGGCATCACCTATACAAGGTAATTAAATCAAACAGTTTCAACCAAAATGGATTGCAGAATCACAGATTTGGAATGGGAAGGAAACCTTATAAGATCATGGGATCATAGGTTTAGAACTTAGAGTTCAGTTTCAAACCCCATTTTACAGATGGGAAAACTGAGGTCCAGAGAGGTGAACTGACTTGCCCAGCTAGGGTCGTACAAAGAGCAAATAGCAAGAGCTGAGACTGGGGATTAAGTCATCCTCTGGGTTCAAATCAGCTCTCTTCCAGTGTACCCATTCGCTTCTCCATCAGTGGGTTACTGGAGACAGACACCGCTTTTCTCATGATCTTCCAATGAAGGGTCTGTCTGTTCTTTGTAGCTTTTTCCCTAATAGATTTCTGCACAATTGAATTGTCCAAACAACTGATCTCACTCAGGGGTTAAGGGCCAAAAATACAGAATCACATTTTTATTTTGAGTTGGGGTGGGGGGGTGGGAAGAAGAGGGTTTGGTAAGGGGGAATTGAGTCACAAAACCACAATAAAGTCTTCTCCTCGGCCTGACAATCACTCTCCTATCTAAGAAGACACAACACAATGCCATTGCTAATAGACTATACTCCCTCAACTGGACATTCAGGAGAGGACATTCATGGAGCCCTTTGTGTCTGGTAAAGCTGATGGACCCTTCTTTTAATGATTTAAAATGCATAAAATAAAATATTTAGTATTGCAATGGAAACCAGAGAAAAAGTTGTCAAAATATATATTTTATAAAAATTCATAGATCTCAGATTATCCTCAAATTGTTTGAGATGCTCCCATAATCACAACAGCTGACATTTATATAGCATGTTAAAGTTAGCAATATTGCCTTCGAAGCCTGACAACAACCCTGGGAGTGAAGGTTTTATCAGTCCCATTTTAGCAGTGAGAAAACAGGCTCCAGGAGGGGGTGGTTTGCCTGCTGTCACATTGCTAGTAAGTGTCCAACTTGGGCACTTTGAATTTGGATTTGAACTTGGGCCTGCTTGGCCCCAGATCCAGTGTTCTATCTATAATATATCCTTTTCTCTTGATTCTCAGTTGCTGATGGGGCATCCAGCTTTGGGAATGTGATCAGTGTAACACTTGAATTCCACTCAACCTGAGCTTCTTGCCTAGAACGAAGTGCTTTCTCAAGCTCTGCAGCTCACATGGCCTCCTTTCTACTGGCTTCATCCTTCCTTACCCCATGTGCAAGGAGCTGCTATAAGGATTGAGTGACCTTTAGTCAGTCTGGATCTCAGTGATCCACACATCCATATAGACCTTTGTGTATTTCAAAGGGCTTTCTCGTCTATTTTCATGTCTCATTCTCAGAATGTGAAACACATCCTATCTCATGCTTCCTCCATTGTGAGGAACCAGGGTGGGAATTGCTATGAAAGGGAACATGACTGTTGGTGGAGTTGTGAACTGACCCAACCATTCTGGAGAATAATTTGGATCAATACCCAAAGGGCTATAAAACTGTGCATACCCTTTGACCAAGCAAAAGCACTACTAGGTCTGGGAATCCCAAAAAGATATAAAAAATAGGGAAAAGGACCTCTTTGTACAAAAATATTTAGAACTGTTCTTTTTGTGGTGGCAAAGAAATGGAAAGGATGCTCACCAATTGGGAATGGTTGCACAAATTGTGCTACATGATTGTAATGGAATACTACTGTGCTGTAAGAAACAATGAGCAGGATGCTTTCAGAAAAAAAATTGGACTTATATGAATTGATGCAAAGTGAAATTAGCAGAACCAAGAGAACACTGTACACAGTAACAGCAATACTACATGATCAACTGTGAATAACTTAGCTATTCTTAGCACTATAATAATTGAAGACAATTCCAAAGGACTCATGATCAAAAATGCTATCTACTTGCAGAGAAAGAACTGATAGAATTTGAATGCAAATTGGAAGCATACTATTTTTTACTTTTTTTAATCAGGTTTTTTTTTTTGGTCTGTGTTTTCTTTTACAACATGACCAAGGTGGAAATGTTTTGCATGATTGCATATGTATAACCTATATCAAACTGCTTACCATCTCAGAGAGGGAAGATGGGAAAGGGAGAGAGGAAAGGAGAGAATTTGGAAAACAAAACCTTAAAAGATGAATGTTAAAAATTGTTTTCATATGTAATTGGGGGGAAAGATTTTATTAAATAAATGAATGAATGAATGAAAGGGAGCATGGTGCTATGAAAATAATGCTAGATTTTGGAGCTAAGGGACCTGAATTCAAATCTCATCTCTACCACTTACTATCTGTTTGACCTTGGGCAAGTAAATCATTTAACCTCTCTGGCCTCAATTGCCTCCTTCTTAAAATGACACATAGTACACTGAACACATAGGATCACAGATTTAGAGCTAGAAGACCCTTTGATGTCTTCAAATCTGACTCTCTCATTTTACAGATGAAGAAACTGAAGCACAAAGAGGTAAGTGTTTGAGGTCTTTCTGACTCTAAAGTCGAAGGCTTAATCTATTATCCCCCTTTGCCTGTCCTCTTAATGACCTCTGGAGTACTTTCCAACTCTTAAAACAATGATCCTGTGATCCAAATCTTAGAAAGGCATAATGAGAGACCTATCACAGGGCCCAGACTCCAATCCCAAATCACTAGCCCAATAAATGAGAGTATACTGCCTTACCAAGCACCATCCCAAGTCACAGATCCAACAAGATATGGCTCTGTGAAAGAGAATGGAACCAGGAGTTGGGAAGCCTGGGTTCTAATTTCTAGCAGTGGAGCTTCCTGGTGGAGTAGCTGAACATATCCCTTCCTCTTTTGGTGCCTTAAATTCCTCATCTGTCAATGAAGGAGTTGAGTGAGATGGCTCCTAAAATTCCTACCCACCCTTATATTTTATGCTCCTTTCAGACCTCTCCATGCAATGAGGGAAGAATGACTTCCCTAAGGTACACAGTGGTATACTTCAGACTCTACTAAAACCAGAATACTCACCACTAAAAAGAGGACAGATCTTTTCCCAGCAAGTAATCCCACCTTCAGAGGTATACTGGCCTATAACAACCTCCAGGAAAAACACAGGCAAGCCGCCGCCAAACAAGAAAATGAAGTAAGGTACAAGAAACGCACCTGTGGAGAGAACACAAAGAGACAGAGGTCCCCTATCAGTGGGTCACAGGGATTTGGGAAGTTGGCTCAAGCATACCCAGGGTTCCTAATCAAGGAAAGACCATCTCATCCTGGAGGGGGGGGTGAGGGTACACATTCCAAGTTTATGAAGGGCCGTGAAGGCTAGCAAGTGGGCAGAGCTGCTGCGCATCTACCCAGGCCCACACTGAAGGACTGTGTAAGGCTCTCTCCCTACAGCAAACCCTCTGTTAAGTTCAAAGATGTCCCCAAGATGGGAGTTTTCTGCTTTCTTCTCTATGTAGTCCTTTGGACACATAAAAGCTCATTTCTCAATAAATAATGACCACTAATTTCCCAAGGGCACATCCTAGCTTGTATGTCCATAGCATTTGGAGGTTTATAAAGCACTTGCCTCACAACAGCTAACAGTAAGTTAATTGTAAAGCACTTAGCACTGTGCCTGGCACATAGTAAGCACTATACAAAATGTTAGCTGTTATTATATTACTATTATCTTCATTTTACCAACACTGAAAGTGATACTGCCAACCCCAAACACTACTGAACAAATACCCAAATGGGCTGCTAAGGATGTTCCACACAAACTAACTTCAAGAGAAGGTGTCTTTGCCTATTGGGTGTGATTGGAAGGCAACCCAGAAGGTGCCCACTGCCCTAAAGTCTCTTCCTAGCAGGCCTGTCCCTCAATCCAAAACTCTACCATTAGAGATGCATTCCTTCAAGTTTTAACAAGCTCCTCTTACAAAATGCTGATAACTCTGGAAGGAATAACACATTGAGCTGATGATTAATCATTTGTATTTTATTTTGAATTAATTTATCCTATCTTTTCTTCTTAAGAGTGAGCTTGGATCTCTACTGGGAATATACATTTTAAAGAAGAATGGGATGAAATTTGGAACACTGAGTAGTTCCTTTATAGAAATAACATATATGATATGATCATCCAACTTTAAGATAACACAAAGGTGGGAAGAATACATAAGGGGCAATGGACGGCAAGATCCAAAAATATCTTGACAAATTAGGACATTGATTCAAAATGAATGAAATTTAATATTAACAAATATAAAGTGTTTTACTTGGGTTCAAGAATCAACTTCCTAAGTAACAGATGGGAAAGGTTTAGCCTCATCAACATTGGTTTGTCAAACTACAGTCTGGGGGGTTTAGGAGACTGTAAGTTTAGAGAGTCAACAGTGGGACAAGACCACCAATAAAGCTGATGAAATTCATTAAGAGGACAAATGAATATTTTGTTCTATCCTAGGCACATATTTTATTTAGGAAGGCCAGTGGTTAGAAAAAGGAAGGTGAAGAGGAAACAGATGGAGAAGAGCCCAGTTTCACACCAATATAATTGATTTCTCTATTCCCCTTACTAAGGGATTCATTTAGTATGAAATACTCACCTCCGCCATTTTTATAGCAGAGATACGGGAAACGCCAGACGTTACCTAAGCCGATAAAACCACCTGCCACGGACAGCAGAAAATCAACCTTGCTTGACCACTTCTCCCTCTGTGGTTGCTTCCCTTCAGCCTCATCTTCAGGCCGGGTTCCTGGACTCTTGCCAGGGGAAGGCTTCAAGATGTCTTTGTGAAAATCTTTCAAACACTGAAGTTTTTCCTTGGTTGCCATTCCTTCGTCTTCTAGAGGTCAAAAAAAGAAAAAAGAAGAAAAAGGATATGGATTTAGCCAGGACATGTGAAGAATATTACAGAACCCTATAGTGATATCTTCCCTCCCTCCCTACAATAGGCCTCTACTCACCATATACACATATTCAAACAATTGGGAGTGACAAGGATTTTACAAAGAAATCTAAAGAATATTACAGAATCTCAGAATGTCAGTTTCCCTTCCCTACCTCCCGCATGAACATAAAGGAAGATTTAGCCAGGACATCTCTGGAGTCTTATAGAATTTCAGAATATCCGGGAAATGCTCTCAAGCTACTTAAAACTGAAGTAGAGAGATAATATCATAATAAATAAATGTATGTATGTAAGTGCATATAAATACTCATGTGTATGTGTGCGCAGGTATGTCCATTCAGATACTAGTGCTTCCTTATCCAAGATCACCTATTGTCTGATTTCTATGAGCCTCATATATCTATGTCTGTACAGTGTTTCTTCTATTACATCCTTGAGGGCAGGAATTGTTTGTTCTTGTCTTTGTAACCCCAGAGTTTAGTTTTCCCCGAGGGCCAGAGTGCTGGCACTGGGCTGCTTTCTCATCTGTAAGCCCTTTTAGGTGGAGTGAGCTGCAGGGACATAGGAGGACTTTACAGGAGGTCTATAACCTTCCCAAAGGCAGGAAGCCCCATGCTTAGAGTTCCTACGAGTCCTACCCGCTACCCTCCTTCCCATTCATCCCAGTCAGGGGCACGCCTCCAACCCAGACCTTTGGAACCTCAGACTGCTATTTTTTTTTCTGATATCACATGGCTTCAAGTCTCAGAGCATCCTTGGACACTGGACTTGACTCATAGATCTGGAATGATGAGGGAACTCCGAGGGCACATCCAGCCTGACCCCCTACAGATGAGGAAACTAGAAACCAGGCACCGAACCCACATGCTGTGACCCCTGAGGCAATACCACCTCCACCAAGGGATTGCAAGATCACTACTTCTAAGTCCTTCACTTTAGGCATAAAGAAATGGAGGCCCAGAAAGAAGTAAGAAATGGGAGATGGGGTTCACTCAAGTGCTGGAGGAGGTCAGGAGGAAAATGCCTTCGTGGAAGACATAGAGCACCAGCAACAGTCCCACAGATGGGAGCCTGCTGCAGAGAAGAGTGAGTCTCCCACCAGGAAGAGGAGGCCCACACAGTTCAGGCTAGACACTCCTCCAATCCTCTCTCCTTCTTTTCCTGTAACCCTGTGAATGCTGGGCCTGGGGCTCTAGTGTCCCTGAGAGAAGTGGGAGAGGGGAGAAGAGCATTAAAATTATGGCAATGGATTGGTAAGGATGGATGCCTCTTCTCTGGAAGGAAAGAACAGCCTCTGGACTTGTGCCAGACCTGTGCAAGATGGGTAAGGGAGATAATATGAAACAACAAAAGAAAGAACAACTGGATTTGAAGTCCGAAGACTACCGTTCGAATCCCAGTTCATCTGCTTGCTATTTATATGACCCCTTGAGCAAATCATTGAATGTTTCTGGGCCTCAGCTGGACCAGCTACCTACTGAGTTCCTTTTCAGCTCCAAAGCGATGATTGTGGGATGCTCTAAGATTCAGGAGTGGAGAGGAGGAATCAGTCCATTCCATTTGGAAGGCTGCGATCTGGCCTTGGGATTCACTGAATGACTGGCCATGCAAGATCAATCGACATCATTCTAAAGTCCTGTGGCTCTGCAAGGGCATAAAGTAATGGGAGGAGAGTCATTTAGTGGTGACTGGGGCCAAATCTGGCTGTCTCTAAGGTCTATTCCTGAGTATGTGCTGTAGCGTATAAATTAACCAAGAAATTCAATTAGCTTCTCCCTCCCCTCCTAGCCCCCATAACATGCTCCTGCGTTTTATCACCCTATTTCACTGAGTTTTTCTAATTTGGGAATATATAGAAATGGGGTCCTACAGAGTCCCAGCAGAGAAGGCTTTGGGGAAAGACAATAAGAGCCATGTTCTGAAATTAACATTCTCTGCAGACAGGTCTGCATTCAATGGGGTCAGCTCTCAATGGACCAAGGGAGATTTTAGGATCCTGGGCAGCTGGTACATCCCGGGCCATTGTGAAATGTCAGTGACATTGGAGCTATGTTGAAGCCTCTTTGTACAGGGGTCTCTAAAAAGGAAGTGAAGGCCTGCACCAGGGACAGAAGGGAGTGTGCTCACATATGGATATATCTCAAAAAGGGAGCCTCTTGCTTGAGACCTGAGACCCAGAGGCTTTGGTGTTACACTGAATCAGAGGGCTGCTCTCCTCCCCTCCAATTCCCATTGGATCACAGTTTTGGAGGTAGGCAGGTCTTGGAGGTCATCTAATTCAAAACTCTCCCTTTACAAAAAAGGAAACAGAAACTGAGGCTCAAGACACGTTGATTGATTTGCCTAAAGTCACACAGGTAATTCTAAACCAGGTCTGTTTCCTCACCATGTCCGCCATGCTGCCTCTCAAGAGTGGTCCTTGAGATCTACCTTCTCCTTCAAAATATGGATTCCATTTTAACGCTAGATTAGAGGAAACCAAAATACTTGGTTGATTTTTTAAAAAATAGTCATAGGATTTTAGAGTTAGTTATTTTATAGAACAAGAAACTGAGACTTCCTGAAGGTTATTTTTAAAGTACTGGTGAAGACAAAATTCAAAAGGAATGACTTGTTTGATCACATAGTGAATGAGTGAGGAAGCATCACCCCACCTCAGAGTCAGAAGCAATGTAAGGGGTCAACTCATCTGGTGCAGTGCATAGAGCACCAGGTCTGGAGTCAGGAAGATATGAGTTCAAATCTGGCCTCAGGTACTTAATAGCTGTGTGACCCTGGGCAAGTCATTTAACCCTGTTTGTCTCACTTTCCTCATCTGTAAAATGAGCTGCAGAAGGAGCAGGCAAAAAACACTCCAATAGCTTTGCCAAGAAAAACCCCAAAAGGGTCACACGACTGAAAATGACTAAACAACAATAAAGTCCAATATACACCTTCATTGAAATTTCTTTTATAACATCCTCAAAAAGTGGTCACCATAGACTTCCAATGATTGATCACTCTTTTTCTTCTAAGGTAGCCCATTCTATTTTAGAGTAGCTTTAATTATCAATGGAATTTTTTTTTCTTACATGAAGAACCTGCTTTTCTTTACCATCCACCCATTATTTTGAGTTCAGCCCTGTAAAGCCAAGTAGACTCTTCCATGGGCAGTATTTTCTTGAAGTACATCTACCTTCTAAATTTTCTTTTTTCCAATCTAAATATCCCAGTTCCTCCTAGCAGCAGTCAACACTAGACATTGACTCTTCTGACTCCCAACCCAGTGCAGTTTCCCAAGCACCATGCTGTCTCTTTGGTCCAAGAATGGCAGACTGTCCACAGCTCATTCTCACCTACCACAAGAGGGTCAAAATTCACCCTCCCAAACAAGATAACATTTCTGAACCAAGCTCGAGCTGAGTTTCATTACAGAAACATGAAGCACAAGTTAAAGGAGAGGGGATGAAGGGTGTCTCTACTTGGGGTGATTGGGTGGGGAGAAAGAAGAAAATAGAGGTCATTCAATGAAAAACATCTTTATTATTAAGGACCTGGAGTCCCACATCCTCCAATTATACTCCATTGAGTAATGCCACAATGGTACTTAAGAGATAACAATCAAATGGTCAGAAGGAGATGTTAAAACAATGCTCTGACACCGCCCAGATCAGACCAGAAGAATGATGGGTTATTTTTACGGTATCAATTAGTGCAGGCAGAATCCAAAAGTCAAACTCCCTTGTATCCCCCCCAAGGGGATAAGGGAAAATAAAAGCCTGGGATTCCAAAGTGAAGTGATTCCAACACGGAGACACACGTCTGCCTTCCAGAGACAAAGGTTTGGCCCCTCAACTTCAGGAAACCTTGCCTGGGTCTGCTCCACGGCAGATAGCAAAACAATCACAACCCCCATGAACTCAAGAGAGCTTTGAAGGCAAAGGAAGAAGCCAAACTTCCCTGCACAGATCTCTGAAACCCCCAAAGGAAGAAGGTGTAAGGGGGACTATGCAATGCTTTTTTATATTTTCCCTTCTTTGCTATCAGTACATAGTCCCTGTTCCCCTGGGATTTTGCTACGGGTTCTTTCCTCCCTTCTGACCTCCTCCCCGACTGTTCTCACCGTGATCTAAGTCTTCTGTCTAAGAGATTTACTGCCGCTATGACAGAGCCTCCACTAGTGGCTTCTGCACCTGGGGCCTGGAGCAAGACTAGGAGAAAGGAGACAATATCAGACTCACTTGGGGTGGGGGGTACTGCTAAATGGAGATGATGAAGTAAATGCTACCACCACTGTTAGCTCCCAGGATGGTGCTATCAGCATCATCTAAATTTTCTGCCTGATCACCCCATCTTAGTTCTGGCTCTATACTACCACTTCATTGGGGCACCACTCACAAGACGGTGGGGCCCAATTTAATCTCACAGGATCCTAAGATTAGGACCCTAGTGATCAAGTCTGTGGAGCAGCTAGGTAGCACAGTAGATGGAGCATCAGGGTTCATCTTCCTGAATTCAAATCTGGCCTCCAACACTTACTAGCTATGTGACCCTGGGCAAGTCACTTAATCCTGTTCGCCTTGGTTTCTTCGTCTGAAAAATGAACTGAAGAAGGAAATGGCAAACCACTCCAGTATCCTTGCCAAGAAAACCCCAAACAGGGTAATGAAGAGTTGGACACAACTGAAATGACTAAACAATGATCAAGTTCCTTCCCCTGATTTCATTTTTAACATAATTTTATCTTATTTTGCTTTTTTAAAAAACTAACAAACATTCCATTTCTCTCTTCTCTCAATTGAAAAAAAAATAAATAAGATAACCCCCAAATCCTTGGCACTAATATGCATAGTCACAAGCAAAACAAATCCCGATACTGACTGTGTCCAGAAGTGGATGCCACTCCTGTCCATTGAGCCCATCACCTCTCTCCCAGGAGGTGACCTTCCCCTCATTTTAGAGCCGAGAGATTTAAGACCCAGTAAAGGAACTTCTCCAGAGTCTCCACAGTAAAGGAGATGTTCCTTTGACTCAAACTTCATCGATCTTCTACTAAATCAAGTTGTCTCCTTTTGTGTTCTTAGCTAATGAGAAAACACAAAGCAACCACCCCCAAGGCTCCCAGGACTTCAGGCCACTTCATTCTTAAAGGTTTAACTTGAGACTTTCTGCCCCTCTCCTATCTGAAGATATTCACAAAACCAGCATGCCATATGGGCTTGGGCAAGCTAAATTACCTTACTTCCCCAGGCTCCCGTTTTCTTGTAAAATCAAACTCTAAAAAAGAAATTCAGGCTCATAAACTCCAAAGCTAGACAGTATCTTAAGGGTCACTTAGTCCAGCCATTTCTATGGTCAAAGAGAACAAAGCCCAGAGAGATTTAAGCAATTGGTCTAACTGGGATTCAAATCTAGTGGTTCCCACTCCAAAGCCAACTTTTTCCCCCAGTATACAATACCACCATTGACGTAGCGATGAAAAGAAACAGGCATTAGGTACATAAGCCTTCTCAAGGCTCATGGACCAAGAAAACAGGCTGGTATACTGGAAAGGAAGCCTGGGTATAGAGCCATCTGGTAAGTCAGTGCTAAAACTCAGTATGTTCACCTAGCCTTTAACCCGTTGTTCAAACAGGCTGTATTTTTCTAATAATGAGAGACCGTTAGGTGGTACAGTGGATAGAGTATTAAACCTGGGATCAGGAAGCTCCGAGTTCAAAGCCTGCTTCACATACCTACTTACTAGCTGGGGGATTAAGTCACTTAACCTCTGACTGTCTCTGTTTCCTCACCTATAAAATGAAGATAATAATAATAGCATCTACTTCCCAGAATCATTGTGAGGATAAAATAATATCTGCAAAGCACTTCGTGAATCTTAAAGCTCTATATAAAAGTTAGCTATTAATATAATTATTAATGATATCATTATTTAAAAAGAGAAGTGGAGAGAAAGTATAGGGGAAAAAAAAACCTAACATAGCACACAAGAAAATTGGGTACCTGTCCCAAGTGCACCACTCACCTACTATGTGACTTTGGGTAGGTCCCTTTTCTTCTTTTGGGATCAGTTTCCCTGACTATAAAGTGAGGGGGATTCACTAAAGGATCTCTAGGATTAACATTGATTGCATGACTTTACTCTTACTTTTCACTTGAAAGATTCCCAACTACTTAAATTTTAAGGAATGACAGTAGGTGGGTGCAAATTGCTGGCACCTTGCAGAAGAGAATCAGAAAAAAATGCCATCTCAATCATCCTATTTTCTAACTCCTCTCCCGTCAACATCAGAAATAGGTCCTTCTGTTACACAATGGTGGGCCCCATCCTCCTCCTCCTCTTCCATGTAGTCAGAAACAAAAAGAAATTAAAAACCATCTTACTGCAGTTTCCAACAGCTCTCTGCTACTGATTTACTGATCCCCATAATCCCTGAGAAGAGAAAAAAATATGAGAGTTGGAAGGGAATTTTGAGGTCAGCTAGTCTTAGCCCAGTCACTCTACAAACGAAAAAACTGAGGACCTGAGAAGGGATGTGACCTGCCCAAGGTCACATCATGAGTCAATGACAGCGCCAAGTTCCTGACTAATAGTAATTATAGTTTACATGTAGATAGCGCTCTGCAAACAGTTTACACATCATTACCTTGATCTTCACAACAAC